GGAGCTTGAGGCGCCCTCAGCGGCTGGTGTTACGTAGCCTGCTCGGGGACTTCCACCAGATCCTCGCACATCTCCTTGAGGAGAGCCTACTGGTGTTCTGTAGATCTCATGTCTGGTAGTTTCAGAGCCTATCCTGACAGTTTGATCTAGTGGAGACAGAGGGCGTTCTAGACCCTCTACCACTGTGACTCTCACCTGTGCCTCTGAAGCACGTTCTGGTTGTTCACTCATGTGAGGAGAGGCAACAGATGCCTCTCTTAGTTCTGTCGAGTCCATGGGCGAAGGGACTCTTGTTTTAAAACCTTCATCCTTTTGAGAGGATGAGGGAGTTGTATGAGGTTGCCCAGATGTGCGTTCCATAGGGGATGAAAGAATGTCCTCTGTGGGGATAGTTTGGGTAGGGATTGGCATGTTCGTGCCTGTTTCAATAGAGGGTCCCTCTAGAACAGGGCCTCTAGACATGTGGGTTGCACTGGGAGGTGGGCTTGGTTGTGTGCCTTCGACATCTTTTGCTCCCTTACCTAACACTTCAGCCTCTTCTTCTTTGTCGTCTAGAACGACTTCTGTCCCCGACTGTGATTCATCAATTGGCACCTTGAACTCCTTCTGGATATTCAAAAGAACATCTTGAATTTGTTCTGTTGGGGAAACTTCGATAACCATCTTGCGCAACCTTCTGCGCTTGGGTGTAGCTGCAGCCTCTGCCGAGCTTTCTTCTGCAATGGCCTCTGTGACCACAGGTTCTGTGATCACAGGCTCTGTAGGTTCAGCCTTCTTTATTTTTCTCTTCTTTTGTTTTGGCAGAGGTACAGTTGGGCCCTCTTCTTCTACGGGCCTCTTCTTCCCCTTCGACTTTTTCACAGAAGAGTCAGCACCCTTCTGTGTCTTCTTTTTCTTGCGTGAGGGAGATGGGATTCTAGGGGGTTGCTCACTCACCTGACCAGCCACTACCGGCTCCTCCTTGCGTCCCTCCACTCTCATTTTTGCAATCTCTTCTCTTAAGGGGGTACCTATTCGTGGTGGGGTTACAGGGACCGGTTCTGGTCGCCTGTATCCACGTCTATAGGCTTTGCGATCTCCATGACTTAAATACCTGAGCATGGCCTTGGATAGGGGTCTTGGACTTCTGTAGCCATGCTCATGCTCGGTAGGATGAAACTCCTTGAATGGGTAGAGCCTTGCATTGGGCTCCACAGAAGGCAGTTTCGCTGCCAGAAGGTCTCCAAATACTAGACCAAGGAAGCGTTGTAGGATCAAATTTGGCTGGTTCATATCTTCCTTGGCCTTCTTTTGGGCCTTAACCTTTGTCTTTTCCCCTCTTTGGCTGGCGCACTTCTTTTTAATCAGGCCGACC